AATTTATGACTCATGCCTGCCTCTCTATGTCCCTCTACCCATTTCTCTAGAGAGTGCGGTAAATAAAAAGCTCTCCTTGCCCGAGTTTCCATAGACTTAGGTGGGCATGTGGAGTTATTCTTCACCTACACAATGATTAGGAGATCATTCTTCAAAGAAGTCAATGTTTTGAAGAAGGAAAAATGGATTCTGGATACAATGTCTGCTACAACTGCTGCCCAAATAACTTTTTAGGAAGATATGTGCTCACACATAAAATGCTGAACAATTTGGCTAAAGCAACAGATACTTTACCTTAACATAGGCATGTAAGCAAAATTGTTCCAAATGTTCTTCTACAGCAGATGGAATTCCACTCTTAGCTCTGGCATCTGCATGATGCCCAGACTTTTCCTGTGGAGTTTGAATCTGAAGTTTAAATTTGAAAAATCTTAATCCTCTACCAGTTGGGTACCAATTTATAGCATTTCAAACTTATTTTCCATTATTTCTTTTCATGAATATTATACTCCAGATGAACAGAACACTGTTTGCCTAGCATATCTGCCTAGCTCCCTTCCTATTTCTCTAAACCTATCTTTTTTTAATATATATATTTTATTGATTTTTTTTACAGAGGAAGAGAGAGGGATAGAAAGTTAGAAACATTGATGAGAGAGAAACATCAATCAGCTGCCTCCTGCACACCTCCTGGGATGTGCCCACAACCAATGTACATGCCCTCTACCAGAATCGAACCTGGGACCTCTCAGTCCAAAGGCTGACTCTCTATCCACTGAGCCAAACCGGTTTTGGCTAAACCTATCTTTTTTTGTCCAGACAATGTTATCTTCTTTATTTCCCCAATCTGGTATCTATTCCTTTCTCTATTCTATCTTAGCATTTTATATATATATATCTCAGGTTGGTTTTTTTTATCATTTTCTGCATGGAATTAAAGTTATTTATATGTAGATGCTATCTCTATACTATAAATTTCTTAAATATAGAAGCTCTGTTGAACATACCTTTTTTAAACATTTCAATTGTGATAAATATTGTACATATGTATATACATAAAACATCTAGCTTGAGTTTATTAATAATTACAAAGCAAACACCAATATATAGTTTATCCACCATCCCAGTCAAGAACAGAGCAGAGGCCTCTGTACATGCCTATTCCCATACATTCTGTTTATATCAATTGTGGTTTTCTTTATTTTTACACAACAATAGAAAGATGGCTGAAAGACTTGGGAAGCCCACCCCACAAAGGGGTGTTTAATTTCATCAGCAGTCATGGAAATGCAAGTTAAGACAATATTAACACTAATGTCTCTCCAAATTGGTGTAATTTAAAAGCCTAGAAATAGCAACTGTTGGCAGTGGGAACTCACACACTGTTGATGGGAGTATAAATTGGTACAAGCATTTTGTAAAATAGTGTCACATTATATAGTAAAGTTGAAAGTATATATAACCTATGATTTAGCTATTCCATTACCTGGTTCTTTCTACATTCTCTCTTCAAAGCCTGGATCAACTTGGACTAGAAGCTAAGTCTCCTTTCTTGAAATTCTGGGCTCTTTCTACAATTCTCTCTTCAAAGCCTGGATCAACTTCCACCAGGGAGCTTTCCCTGCCCACAAGATTCTTTCTCATCTCTTTAGAGTTCTAATTATTATTTCTATTTTACTCCCTTGACACTGGCCAGATATGCCTTGAATTGTTATCTATCTTGATGCATGTGTCCTGTTTCATTGCACTGCTTGCATGCTGCTCCTGAAGCAAGAACAGTGTCATGCAGCACCTGGTTCCTTCACAATGTGAGCACCCTATCTCTCCTGCAGCTTGTGCCCTCTAACCACTGTATGAAACTTGGCTATCTCTGTGGGCTGCAGCATTCAAAGAGCCAACACTAACTATCAAGGCTAAAACAAATGTGCTCTGGTCCATTTGTGTTCCATTGAGTATGGGGGAAATTGCTGCTCAGTTACTGAACATTGAGTCATTAATCTCCAAGTACATTACATCAGTCACCCTATATTCAGGAGGATTTACTTTGTTGAAGAAAGAATTACATCTTATAGTCTTATATTTTTATTCTCCAGAGTGCCTTTCCACACAGTAGGAACTTACCATGAAAGAGTAACTTTGAATGATTCATACATCAAATAAGTCCTCTTTGAAATTTACTATAATATAAGGCAACTTTTCTCAGATAATTGGGCAAAGAAGGCAAGACTGGCTCCTCTTGTTAACAGCAGACAGTCAAGTTAACAGCTCAAAGCTTTGGTTTCCTCAACTGCAAAATTAAAGCACAAAAATCTGTCTCATGGTGAACAAATAAGGATAAAAATGTCTTTTGACACATCAAGAAATTTCTGGAATTTACAAGATGAGTAAGAATCAAGTAAGATTTGGTTGTCTGTGAGTTTAAGCAAGTTAAATTGTGGGAATCGGAGTTTTCTATTATAAAATGAGAGGGTTGGTTTAGATTATTTTTAGAAACTCTTTGAGGGTAAAAGTTGTGATTCTGCAATACTAGCCTCAATTGTCAAGAACTCCTAATATTTTATTTTTTCTTTTCCTATACATAAAGCTAAACAAATCATCTAATGCACAAAGGGGGCCTCCTATTTGGATTAATGTGTTTTCACATTCTATTCTCAAACATTTCAGAAAGGAGGTTCTTCTATGCTTTTCCTGCATTATCTTGATCTACAGGCCTTACTCACATTGCCTCTCACTCATCAGACCAGTCCTGCAGGGAAAGGGTGGTGTCATTAATAGCCAAATGGGCATTTGGCTTCCATTTGACAGATTTCCCATGTGGAAGTGAAAAAGCTCCTTATAGGAATGTGTATTCTGGCAACAAGACATCTCCTTTTGCATAGCTTCTGCAAATGGATTCTCATGTAGTGAAAGCTTGAAATTTGTCTGCTGTGGACTGGGAGTTTGGAGGAAAGAAAGTTAAACCATGGATGAAAATAAAGGCTTGGATTTGGACAGGGTGGAGAGAGTGAGAGTCCTCAAAAATGGTAAATACAGGGACAGATACATGAGAGCTATTCCAGTAATCTCAGTGTATCAAATACACATTACGACAAAACTTCTTCATATACTTTATTAAATGTATCTTCACAGTTTGTCCTGTATGTTGTGTTAAAAGAGATGAAATGACTCTTGGAGGTCACACAACTGATATGAAGAATAAGGATTTTCATCCAGTTTTTATATCAGAGCTAGTACTCTTTTATACCTATTTGCAGTTAACTGTAACACTGTAACAGTTACACTGTAACTGTAACACTGTGGGACTTCAACAGAAAATTGAAATATATAGACATTAAGCCTTTCACTCTTAGAAGATCCACAAACATTTTTGCCTTAACTGAAAATGGTAGAAATAAAGAAACATGCCCAGAAACACACTTGACTATGTAATGCCATAATTACAATATACAAACTATAGACTTTAATTTCTTATGTAGACCTAATGGCTTAGTGCTGAGGAAAGTTCTTGTTTGGGCTGAAGACAGAAAGAATTTGAGGAGGAAGGAAGAGGAGGGGAAGAAAGGAATAGAGGAAGTAGAAAAAGAGGAACAGGAAGAAGAGGAAAAGGAGGCAATTCCATCAACCAAAGAGGGAAAGAAACTAAGCTAAGACTAGAATGTGCTCAGTGCTTGAATAGCAAATCTCCAAATTTGGGTACCTTAGCTTTATATCTTCTGTAAGTCACTGAGAAGGACTTCTACATGTAGTGGATCCTGACCTTTCAAGGCTGTTCTATGTGTGTTGCTGGGCAGGCTCCATTGTTAAAAAGGGAAGCAGGAAAACGGATGAAGCAGATCTAGGTTGTCATGGCCTGGAATCCAGGAGAAACTCCTGATCTCTTAGGAGATGGTGGCCTTATGCTGGCCACCTCCTACAAACTAGCCTCATGTTCCAAAATTCTTTCTTGGCTCCTTTCTCCACAAGACTCATGATCAACTCTTCTTAGACTGACACTGCCCTGTGCATAATAGAATTTGATCATCTCAAAGCTGATTTTCTTGATTTAGCACATCAAGATTTCTGGTTTTCAGATTTAAAATATCCAATTTTTTTTTTTTGTGTGTGTGTGTTATCTTGAAATCATGAAAAATTGGGTGACTTAGACTAATTGTAGCTATAAATGCCATCAAGCAGTTGATATGTGAGAAGTTAAATTAATCTGCACACATATTCACTCACACCCTCTAGCACATGAAATAAGACCTGCTGGTAGACTTGCATTGTGCGTCATAATGCCTTTCCTATCTTAAGAATGCAATTTCCACAGGCTTTCTTATTCTCAGAGCATCTAATTACAGAATATCAGAAAGCAACAGGAATCCAGAGGTGAACTGATTATTGAAGAAAGAAAAAACAGAGGAAAAGAGGGCACAGAGAGTTATTATGTGTGTTTTCAATAGATTCACCAAACTTAAGGGTGCTGAGCAAGGCAAGCATTTAATTCAGAAGACAAATATCCTCTTTTATAACTCTTGTGGGAAATTGCTTCTTTTTTTCCAAACCTTCTCTGCAAGTTTTAGTAATGATGTTAGAAAAAGGCCAAAAGCATAGAACAGAATGCAGCTCTTTAAAGAAAGATATGTTTATTCAGGTTAAAGTTTAAACAATTTATCTGCCGAAACTGTCACTTACGAAAGGTAATTTATTGTTTTCTACCAAGGCTGTCCCAATACTTCAATGGAAGGAGATGAAGAATATGACACGCAACTGGTGAGCTAGAGTGACCTATGAGTGGGCACAGAAGGTGGGGCTGGGAAGGATTTAATACTGGGTCACCTGACTCTTGGTCCAGTGCTCTCTAAGACATAACAACCTTCTCTCTAAGGAATTATTAAAAATGCTGAATCATTTTTTCAGCATTTACTTTGCAACCCATAGACCACAGAAATAGAAAGCAACACACTGTTCATTCCAGTTGAAAAATATTATACAGGGACAATATGATCCTGACACCAAATTTTAATAGTGAGTGGAAATTTCTTCCCATTAAAAATAGGAAGGGGAAATTCAGTGCATTCAGCTTGTTTTCATCTTTAGCTTTAAACCATGTCAAGAAACAAATGCAAGAAGGATATAAATGTCCCATGCTGCCATTCACCAAAAATAAAATTATCTTCTTGAGTGAGACATTTCAAAGGGCTGCTTTTACAACATCTGTTAATAGCAGAAGTAGCCATTGTTTCTGATAAAGAAAAAACAAATCTGTCAAACCTCAAAAGTCATGAAGGCATTTAGGTCTGATATTTGAGGTATCTGCCTATTTCCTTCTCACACCTGAAGATTGGGAGTGAAGTATGTTGAGTATTTTCCAGAGAGCATTTTTCACTTCTTTGTTTCGAAGGCTGTAGATCAAGGGGTTCAGCATGGGAATCACCAGAGAATAGAACACAGATGCTATTTTGTCCATGCCCATGGATTGGCTGGAGCTGGGCTGTAAGTACATAAAGATGATTGAGCCATAGAATGTGGACACTGCCGTGAGATGGGACGCACACGTAGAGAAGGCTTTCTTCCTTCCTTCAGCAGAATGTATCCTCTGAATGGTAATATATATGAAGAGGTAAGAGATGAGGATGACCAGGAAGGTGAAAAAGACATTAAAGCCAACAACACAGAAGACAACCAATTTGCTGATATGTGTGTTGGAGCACGAAAGCGCTAGGAGTGGGGGAATGTCACAGAAAAAGTGATTAATTTCATTAGAACCACAGAAGGAGAGCCTGGAGGTATTTGCCGTTTGAATGGAAGCATTGAGGAGGCCACAGGCATAGGAGCTGATTGTCAGGAGGGCACACACACCTGTGGTCATGGTGCTGGTATAATGAAGAGGCCTGCAGATAGCTGCATGGCGGTCATAGGCCATGGAGGCCAGGAGGTAAGCCTCAACAGTGGCAAAACCCACAAACAAAAATAACTGAGCAGCACAGCCATTGTAGGAGATGACTTTGTTCCCTGACTGCAATGCAGCCACCATCTTCGGAGCTACAGCTGATGAGTAAACCAGGTCTACAAAGGACAGGTTGCTGAGGAAGAAGTACATTGGAGTGTGAAGGCGGGAGTCCGAGTGGATTATCACCATGATCCCCCAATTCCCAACGAGAGTGATGAGATAGATGAACAAAAATACAAGAAGAAGGGGAACCTGAAGTTTGAGGTCATCTGTTAATCCTAAGAGGATGAACGTTGTCACTTCTGTGCTATTCTCTATTGAGGTCATCTTGAGTTTACTCTGGCAATTAAAGAAGAGAAGCCAATGATACTCAGATGTACAAAAGGAATTTGGGGGCGTTACTGTCAGGAAGGGGGAGAAATCCCCTCTCTGCCCTTTCTACAACTGGACTAATAATAAAATAATAACATTGATGCAAGACTAGATTATTAGGGAAAAAATAATTTAATATGTGTGCACACAGGAGAATCATAATATGATGCTCAGATCATAAAATGAGGCCCAAAGAAATGATCAAACTAGGCAATTTTTTGTAGTTTTTAAGACAAAGAGACAATAAACTTATAAGAAATTGACAGGACAAGTCAGGCCTCACTAGGGAGGAATCTAAGCAAGGTTGGGCTTGGGTAGTAAAGATTATGAAGTGTGTTTTACAGACTTTTTTAAACTGTGACTTGGGGTGTTTTTGTTTTTTTAATATAATAAGTGTTTTATATATTTATTTGTACATAAATAATATTATGCATAAACAACTGTTACCTTTTTGTTTGTGGAGATAGATTCTCCAAGTATTTTTTATTTTATTTCCCAAAGGCCAGTCATATTTTTTAAATAGGAGGATGATAGCTCAACTAGAATCTTAATAAGATTGCAAGTAATCAGAAGCCTAAAATAACCAGAATTATTAGTAATGCACATATAAGGAATGATAAATGATTAGAAAACAATGTTATTCTTTTAAGAATGCATTGTATCAACACTGACAAAATTTAGCTCATTTTTCTATCTTCTAAAAATCCATACCAACCTTGCTGATTTGGTTCAGTGGGCAAGCATCAGCTTGTGGACTGAAGAGTCTTGGGTTGATTCCAGTCAAGGGATTGGACCTTGGTTGCAGACTTGAACCCCAGCCCTGGTTGGGGCACTTTTGGGAGGCAACCAATGGATGTGTCTCTCTCACATCAATGTTTTTCCTTCTCTCTTCCCTCCCTTCCACTCTCTAAATATCAATGGAAAAGTATCCTCGAGTAAGGATTTTAAAAAATCAATATCAGTAAAATGGGATAAGTCCCAGATATAAAGTCTGAACACCTATCTTTAAAGTTAAACTGAACTTCAAAGAGCCTTAGTTAATCTCTATTCTGGATTTTTATTTTTTAAGAGTTGTGATCAGGTTGTCACTCAGTCCTCAGGAATGGAGAGGTCACCTATCACACAGAGATTTATTTCCTGTATTTAGAGAGACAGAGAGCTCCTCTCATTCCTGCTGCTCCTCAATTCACTTTAGTTTGAAATAATCAATATGCCATTGTGGGATATCTTGGGGTATCATGACCTGGGTCCTGACAATATAAAAATAGAAAACTAATATATATTGAGAATATACTATGTGTAAGGTATATGCCAGACCCTTTCATTATATAATGCTGTTAGATTAATGCTATTATACCAATTTTATAGATGAGAAAGTTAAGGCTTTGAGAGCTTAATGTTGACCAAAATAATCTAATCATTAGAGGTCAGACTCAAAGTTCACATCTTTATATTTTAAAATCCAAAGCCCATACACTCAGAGTTTGAGTTTTTCTACCTGTTTACATAATATAAAACAAATTATAATGTGCCTGGTAGTATAATTTTTAAAATTTTTTATATATACATACATATATATGCATACATATACATATACATATACATATACATATACATATACATATACATAAGCCTAAGTGACCAGTTGACTGTTCAACCAGACAACCAGTAGCTATGATGTGCACTGACCACCAGTGAGCAGATGCTCAAAACAAGAACTACCCCTGGTAGTCAATGTGCTCTCACAGTGGAAGTGCCATTCAGCAAGCTTACTGAGCAGTGGCAGGCACAGATGGGCCGGGATGAGCAGGAGTGGCATCTGGCTCCTCCCCAGCTGCCTGCTGCTTCTCACAGGCCAGGCTGAGGGACCCCACTGGTGCACAAATCCATGCACCAGGCCTCTAGTTTTAAAATAAAAAAGAGAGAATAGTATAAAGTAAAAAGTACAAATCCTCCATTCCTAGTCTTCTTATTTCACTCCCAAGAATATAGCTTCTATGGAGATTTCCTGACATTTTCTATGCACATATAATTACCTGATATTAATCATACTAATCACTTATTATATACCAGGCATTGTTCCAAGGGCTTTACTTTCTTGGAATAATGCCTGGAATACTCATTTGGTTAATTAATTTAATTCTCATACCAATTTTTGGGGTTGATTTTCTTATTTTACACAGGAGTAACTGTACAGATGAACATACTCCACTACCTCATTTCCAACTTGTCACCTTCACAAACAATACCCCAAAGGATAAAACATGCAAACAGAGCATTTTGCTTTCTTACTAGGTTATATCCAGCTATCATTCTAATGTTACACTTGGTCTCCTTTTTCTGGCTACTCTCTGCTCCTAAAGTGTAGTAGCTTTTAGATGGGGACTGGAGAGCTATTATTATAAAATGATGATAATAACAATAATAATAATAAGAAGAAGAAGAATTAGAACTACTGTCCAAAGTCAGATGACTGGTAAGTGTTGGAAGTAGAATTCAAACCTTGGTCTGTTTGATATTATTAAATCTAGAGCTATGAACTTCAATATTTAATGTCTTTATGAGTTTACCTTTTAACAACAACTTAACTGAAAGTCATATTTGTATATTTACATGGAGATAGCTATATCGCCACATCCTATCAGAAGTCTTTGTTATTGATCCCAGTTACTTACCATTATCCTTCCTTCTCTGCTCTCTCAAAGCACACAAGTCTTGGTTGATTATCACACAATTTGTTGGACAACCACCCAGCTCCTTAATGGGTCCTAAGCCCTTTGGGATACAGACTATCTTCATCTCCTCTGCCCTCCAAGCCTACCATGGTCCCTTGCACACATAAACAAATATTTAAAAGAATATCAATAGCCAAAACTGATTTGGCTCAGTGGATAGAGCGTTGGCTTGCGGACTGAAAGGTCCCAGGTTTGATTCCGGTCAAGGGCATGTACCTTGGTTGCGGGCACATCCCCAGTAGGGGGTGTGCAAGAGGCAACTGATCGATGATTCTCTCTCATCGGTGTTTCTAACTCTCTATCTCTCTCTCTCTTCTTCTCTATAAAAAATCAATAAAATATATTTTAATAAATAAATAAATAAAAGAACATCAATAGCAAAGGGTTTAAAAAAATTTGTCATGCTAACTCTACAACAAACAGCTGATTGTTCTCTTGTCTAGTTGGATCCAAGTTTCCTGCCAAAATATTGTCTTCGACTTGTGGTATGAAAAATATTCAGAAGTAAAATGAGATTGGGGATGGGCTGGCCTAGAGAAAGGCTGGTGTCCTGGTGTCCTAATTCTAGGGTACTGTCTCTCTCATTGTTTTTCCTCAGCCTGAGGTGTTTATAGGCCTTCCTGTCCCTGGTCACAGAGTGGATGGCAGCAGGCCCAGACAAGGGGTGGGTGTGGAGCAGCCCAGCCTTTCCTGCCAGGACAACAATTACACACACAGTATGTGGCTGGCATCCTAAGAACTGGCTCAACCAGCTTATGAACCACTACTGGTCAGGAACCAGGATGCCATTTCACTGCTTGTTCCCAATGTTTCACCTAAAAGCCATGCTCCAGAGAATACCCTCAGATATGTGTTCTCACCTTTCTTTCTCTTTCCTTAGAATAAATTCCTAGAATTCTATACTTTTCATCTGCTTTTTGTTTATTGGTAGAGTTCCATCCAACAATGTGCCAATTGACTTTCTTTTTTTTTTTTTTTAATGTATTTTATTGATATTTTACAGAGAGGAAGGGAGAGAGATAGAGAGCTAGAAACATTGATGAGAGAGAAACATCGACCAGCTGCCACTTGCACACCCCCTTCTGGGGATGTGCCCGCAACCAAGGTACATGCCCTTGACCGGAATCGAACCTGGGACCCTTCAGTCCACAGACCGACACTCTACCACTGAGCCAAACCGGTTTCGGCAATGCCAATTGACTTTCTAACCAACAGAACTTCTTGTTACATTTATTCATTCCTTTTGATTATTTTTCTTTTGACATTTGGCATATGCATTACTCCCTAACTTAACAGTGTCCTATAATCTGTTACAAGTAGTTTCCTGATCTTACCTATTAGAAAATTGAGGTATGTGATGTCCTTAAAGGTCACACAATTACTTAACAGAAATATCTATACAATGCTTCAGAGCAGAACTTTTCATCCTTGGCTCTATTAGCATTACAGCTGGACAGTTCTTTGGTTGGAGGTGGGTTGGGTCTGGGGGAGGCTGGCCTATGCATTGCAAGGTGTTTAGCTGTATCCCTGCACTCTACCCACTAGATGCCAGTAACACCTCCCTTCCCCAGTTGTGACAACCAACATTGTCTACAGACACTATCAAATGTTTCCTGGGTGGGGTTAGGGGAAGGCAACAATATCATTCCTAGTTGAAAATTCTAGAGTCTTTAAAACTCTGTTTTTCCTTTTTCATGTACCAGTAATCACAACTATTTCATGAGCCACATATTTTATATATTTTACAGCATACATATATATTTTATGTCTATGTGAGAAAAAGTGGCTAGTTTAAGGTCTAGAGTACCAGCCAAATATTGCCGCATTGGTGGGGGGAGCCAAGAAGAGAAAACTCCTTGCTAAGTACTATGGTTTTTTGACTAAAGAGATATTCACCCTCTTACCTTATAAACCAACCACTTTCCCAATTCAAGCTAGAATAAGCAACCTGGGAAAACTCCAAGAATGAACAGCATGGATTTTGAATTCTATTCCAAAATACCTTCTCAAATGCTTAATCAATAAATTTCATTTTATTACTGACCACCCAGTTACATTCAGCTATAGGTATGATGTCTAACAATTATCACACACTGCCTATATTGAACTGCCCCAGATTGCCATCTTTATACAGCAGCAATTAATACTCAAGACATGGTCTGTGTTCTCTTGATGGGCAACTCTTCCCATTATGCATTGCAGTCACTGTTAATAATTGTGTCTGGATCCAGAGCAGGAGAGAGAAATC